CTTCAAAAATGTTGGCATGATTGCCGGAGGGACAGGTATCACTCCAATGCTACAGGTTCGTTCATCAGACGGAGACATCAGACGATATTTTTTAAGTGCATATTGTGCAGTGCAAATTTATTATTTTTCCAGGTCAATTTCCAAATTTCGTTTGTGTTTCATCGTACGAAAAAGAAATTCCTAAAAGACTTTTCTACCGACGACTATTCCTTGTTTTTCATCTGTCATTGTAAAGTTTTTTTGATAATCTCATCGAGTCTCATCGATTGCAGATAATCAACGCGATTCTGAAGGACCCCAACGACTCGACGAAAATTTCATTGCTTTTTGCAAATCAGACGGAGGACGATATATTGCTCAGGTACTAATAGAAATGATATGAAATAATAATAATAATGGTAATAATAAATATGATAATAAATAATCATAATAACAATAACATTCAATTTTAAAAGGAATATGAATAACAATAGTAACGGCAATATTATTAGTTTCATGTGATATACATATTATGAGGTTATGTGGATGGCAAAATCTTCGTTTGAGAAAATTTTCAACGAATATCGATCTGAATAAAGTTGTTTAATGCAGTGAAACACTTTGCTGTGTACCGTTCGATTATATTTGCTATGCAAACAATCTTAAGCGAACTTCTAACGTTATATGTTCATACACGAATAAAGCGATGTTACAGAGACGAACTAGACAAACTGGCAAAGCAGCATGAAGATCGTTTCCAGATATGGTATACTCTTGATAAAATGGCAATCGGATGGAAGTATTCCACAGGTATCCACTTAATATCATAATCGTGTTGTATTTGCTTCGAAAAACTCAGTGATTTGTATTGAACAAGTAACTGAAAAATAGTTATCTATTTGCTTCTGTAAAAATAATCATATTTTGATGAGGTTTTTCGTTTTCGACGTGCTTGATTGCTATTGGATCGCTGTTCTGAGAAAGCTGCTTTGTTTTTTTAATGCAAGAATGACTGATAGGAAAGTGAGGAGCGCACATTTGAAATGGTTTTAGATCGAGAATAGGGATCAAAAAGCATGATCGAAATTGTAGAACTGATCAGTTTGATCGATCGATACTTAATTCAGTTGATTCGTGAATCACAGTAGCATACTTCTGTTTAATCTGAAGCCAACGAGAGAGTGAGTGTCATTATGGAGAAAATATCAACTTTTTTTTAGGCTACATAACCGATGAGATGATTGATGCTCATTTGCCGAAAGCCGGTGCAGATACAGCGATTCTGATGTGTGGTCCACCGCCCATGATCAATTTTGCTTGCGTGCCGAATCTGGAGAAACTTCAACACGCCAAAGAAAACTATTTCTCATTTTGATCAATTCATTACTTCATTCATTCATTTGTCCATCTGTAGAAATGAAACGAATTTCGAACGCTTCCAGCAACTCTAAAAATCGTTTTTCTACAGTCGTGTAGTCGTGTGTTTTGCATTTGACATTGTTCATGAATTATGGAGTTGTTTCGTCATGTTCAGTTGTTTGAAGCATTTTAGAGATGTTGTCGAATGTCATTTTAATCATTCAATAGATTGTCTTTTGTTGTCTTAAATTCTAAATGAGAATATATGTATCTCTGTTCAGAATGAATGAGTGCTATCTGTAATCTGCTTACGATTAGTATTGCACGATTTTGACAGGGATCATTCTCGTTTTCATTGGGGAAAGCAGTGGCTGGCTCATGGTCATTGAGATGCATTTGTGTATGAGCGGTTACGATTTATTGGTGGATATTTGGACATTTCGTGAACTCAGCTGAAGGTTGAATGCTTTCTTGTGAGTTTTAGCATTCTCATAGATGTGAAAATGTAAATATATCATGTAAAGTTCCGATTTGATTATAGTCATTTTCATATTTGAGTGTTTGTGTTAGGTATTTTGGTACAGTGTGTCTGGTACACGTCTATGTGAGGCATATTTTTCGATGTGTACTTTTATTCGATATTCACGTATTCAATAATCGTTTACTTCATAGTTCTTTTCTCATTTGTTCCTTTTAAAAGTAACATTTGACTAAGATTTTGATAGGTTCATGATTTTCTTTTCCACTCTACCTGAATACTTCAAGTGCACAGAGGTAGTTTCTTTAAATTGTCACTTATCAGTTAGATTTGATGTTTCACTGCACTGATGTCATTGTAGTGATATCTTTTAAGAATAAATTTGTATAATTTTTTGAAGTCTATCACTAACCGAAGCAAGCACAACATCAAGTTGAACATCCAGTCATATTAATCGTTTTTATGAGTTATTGTGATCGCTGATTAAATAAACAACTAAATGAATAGGGGCGAAAATTATGTTCCTTGCTGAATTATTAGTTGGATGGACGTAAGAGTATGAGGTATGAAAGGAGAACCATTACTATGTGAGATTCTTTTGATTTCGAGTTTCACTCAAAATTCATAAGTAGAAAAACAAAAAATTCATCAAATTTTTCTGAATCCATCGAATTTTGAACGCTGATGAAAAGTTAACCAGCAACACGAGTCATCATTAATGAATGCACAAATTTACAGTGTAAAAGATCCATCGGGAATGGTTATTTGCAAATTCATCAGAATCTACGAAAAACTTACAATTAGGAACGTTAAAAAATTCCATGAATATATGGAAAATTAGGCGACTGTATGAGCTTTCGGGTGAATTGTTTGCATAAACTAAAATTTTCATATCACTAGCAATAATCTTCGACGTTGAACATTACTATGGATCATTCGTACGATTATAAGGGGTAGTGGGCGGTTTAGGCGACCGAGGATCGCTTGTACCGGTCGTTGTTAAAAAAATAAAACTGGTAACTTGAGTTTAGATGATTGTCACAAATGTCCGCAGTGACAACGTCTGATCATGCAAAAAGTCCATCGAAACCACCACCTGCTGCTCTATCAGCAACGAAAATACCTGCGGGTGAGATTTTCTATTTTCAGCATTTGACATGAGATTTGAATATCTTTGAATAATCGCTTATCTCAAAGATAACAGTCTCATAGATTATCATTGTTCATATGATATTATTATAACCTGGATTACCTGGATTGGCCAGGATATCAAACGTTTGCAAGGTTGCTGGCCAAAACGCTCGCAATGTTTCCGACCGCACCGTTTTAGCCTTGATTTTAGCCACCCCGATGGCTAGGCGAGCAGGCCAACTGAACACAGTCGAGTAATTAATTAGTTGCGGTGAATACTTTGCATAATTAAACGTAACCAAATACCAATCCAGTGAATAATCATAATTTTAATAAAATAAACGTTCCGGCGGTCGCTCACAGCGATTGACAAAACAACCACTCGATGTCCAAGCAATAAGTGTTTACCCGATATTATTATGCAGAATATTATCAACAGTGTTGTTATTGTCATCGCTCTTATCGGCATTATATCATTAATTTCTTGTATTGCTATTACTAACTTAAACAATTCATTACTTCCAGCAAAATCTGCAAGCAGCAGTGAGCACTTTCACAATCGTTCAGCTAGTAGTGAGGGTTACAGCACATCTTCCACAAGTATGCATTCATTATTCATCTGTATGCGATATCTCATCCATCAGTATACATACAAAATGACCATTGTATTAGCAAACAACAATAATGAATTTGATTATTTCAAAACAAAAATCAAAAGTCTACGAAATCAATTTGATCAATTTGATCTACGAACTCAAAAACAAAGATCAATTTGGTCCCTCATATGATTTATTTTTGTCTTTGGACAGAGCTGATCCTGAACAAACGGAGGAATATTTGTGTTGTTGACGACTAATGCTTAGTTGGGGAGGTGCAGCCGGATTTTTGAAGTAGGCCTTAAAACTGGGTTAATTCATCACTTCATTAAACTGGATACATCTGATTTATGCATTACTCAATAGTACACTTCTGTAAGAATATCCTATGAAACAATTTCAAAGTGGCTGCAGACTGAGCATTTCTCACCTTAAACATAAATTGTTCACATATTCGAATAGAGCAACTTTGATACTATAAGAGAACCATACGGGAGGGGGGCTTAATTCTAAAGGTGCTGATAGGTTCCTGAAAGTATGTCATCTGCTAATTAATTATAATGCTAAACTGTACACATTTGCTTAGCCAGGTCATTGATCAATATAAACTGTTGAACGATCATATGGAGTATCATTATCAGGCTATTATTGCCTTAACGACAGTCATAAAGTTTTCTGAGGTCAACAGACAAACCAGAATTTACATCTCACATCAGTAAAAGTATTCATGTGCTCGATGTGAAATCCCTGGTTCTGGAAGTATAGCTATAATTGTAGAGATTAAGCTATCACATTTGAATATTGGGATAGCTGTAGTGAGTAGAGCAATATTTAGTAGAAGGCCACAAAATGAATCTTCTGATTCCAGGTCCTCATTCGAAAGAATTCAGGAACCGACGTCGTGTAAAATCTTCGCAGAGTAGTGAGTGTTTCTGAGTTGTTTTCAATTAAATGCTTTATCCATGCCTTCAGATCGCACTTCAGATCATTATAAGCATCTTTATCTCAAAATCGTGCATGGCAGTCTTATGCTGCTGGTCTAAGTGACTCTATAACAGTGGTTCTCATGGGGGGTGCAATTACCCGTTTTGAACAATTTGGAGGTGTCAAGGGGTAATGGAGGAGGCCGGGAAATTAGTATTTCTTGCAATCGTGATGTTATGATAGAACACCATTGTTGTCGAAGAAAAACAAAGTAAAATTAGGTTGAATATTTATTTATTGGGAAAGAACACAATAAATTGATAACAGACAGAACAAAACAGTTGGGGGATCGATTGAGATGACGTCAGCAAGGGTGCTCACAACCTTTGCTCGGGGAATATGCTTGTCACAGTGGGAGAGCGGATTGATGGGAGGTGAGAGGGGGGTTGGGGTGCCCACAGCCGTTGCTTGGGCAATATCTTTATCACACTGGGGTATC